CAATTTTTTATACAATTTCAAAATTTTATACAATTTCTGTTAACTTATCCAAATTATTATCTCGCTGTATACCCTATATGTAATTATTTTCTTTAATTTCTAGAATAGATTGCACCAATGTTGTTTAAATTTTAAGGCTTAAAACTTTCTTTGTCTCTGTCTCTTTTTCTTTTTTAAACAAGACAGAGAAAGTTTTAAGTCTTGCTTAAAGTCAAAGTAACATTGGTGCAACCGGAGTAGTAATGTAATTACATATGTCCATAATAAATTGTAAATTGTTTATACTTTATTATATCTGTTAAATGATGATATTTTTATTATATCTATATAATTTCGTTACTAGTTTAGTTGTGTTGATTGAAGTAGAGAATGAATAACACATTTACTAATTGAAGAAGTGATGGTAACGTAGAAGATTCATAATCCAGAGGTCCCAGGGAAACTTTCATTTTTTCACTTTTCGTACCTATCAATCTCACATGAAAAGTTTCATTTTCAAATGATATCAGATTTAATGATTATGTAAGAAAATTATGAGAAAGTGAAATCAGATGTAAGGAAGTTACGAGAAAGTGAGATCATAAGACGAATTTACGTCATTTCTCTTAAATTTATGAAAATGTAACAAGTGTTTATGGCACGTGTGTATGTACGGTATGTATGCACGTACATACGTATTTTGATAGGAAATCACATTGTATTCATTATTTGTTGTTTCCTTATACATATAATCGAGAATAACAATGAATGTAACTCAAAAACAAAAGGAAATGCTGTTAAACATAAGGTCAAAAAATTTGGATATTGTGCGGAGAAGAATGTCGCGAAATTCTCAGAGACATAGGGAGGACTGATAAAAATGTTATTTCATTATTCTTGTTCTTAATTGTATGTAGTAAAAAAACAATATGTATTTAAAATTCGTAGAAAAATGTATGGGAGAATATAGCACAAACCCTAAATTGTTCCGGAGAAATCTTCATCTGAATGGAAAAAGATTATTTTTTAATCTGTTTCATAAATTTCTATTTTTTATTATAATTCTTATTTTTAAATTTTCATGTGATTTTTATTCACTTCATATTTTTTACTCATATATTTAATTTAACATCACGTAAATATTTTCTTAATATGTGAAGTTTTTGCCTGTCAACTGCATGCTCTTTCTCTTCGTTCGCACCATTTATGACGAGAAACCACGCAATATCCATTTTAAATATATATTTCAAATCGATATTCAAATATATTTGATATTTATCGAAAGCGAGAGAATTCTGCAATGCAGTCTAATGCAGGAACAGAAAACAGACCAAAAGATCGAAAAATAAGCTAATTTATATTAATTTACTAAAAAATTTACTTAAAAAATAATAGAATTTCACATTTTAAGCATTTCATTATTTGCCAAAAAATTTCCCGTGAACTTCACATTTTATAACAGCCAAAAGTTACTTTATCGCTTATTCATAACATTCACGTGAATTTGTTCAGTTGTATGTATTCATTCCTAGGAGAAACTACATCGATACCCAGGTTCAAATCCCAATCAATTAAGGTGCATTTTTTAATATCAATTTGAAGTAGTTAATTCAGGTATAATTATTATAAATGTCTTAGGAATAAAATTTGTACCTTTAAATATGAATATTTTTTTTTTTTTCGATTATTAAACTAGTGTCAGCTCGGATTCAGACCATTTCAATCCATTTAATCCATTTTTATGGATTTAAAATACGCATTAAAAAAATTTTAATCCATTTTAATCCATTCTCATTTGCTGGGTAATTAAAATTATAAGAAATAGCTTATGCAATGTTTTACTCAAACTGTGGTTCATGTACGAATTATACAGCAAAGAAAAAGTACAAACTTTTGGGCGGTCTTATCTTCCCAGCAAATGAGAATGGATTAAAATAGATTGAAATTTTTTTCTATCCGAATGCGTATTTTAAATAGCGAATATTTTTTTTGGATTTAATTTTGTAATTTGTAATTGGATTTAATTGGATTCAATTGGAGTTAATTAGATTCAATTGGATGCAATTGGATTGAAAAACTGCATTTCCTATTCAAAATTTTGAATTGAACAGTATTCACAATGTGTACAGAAAAAACTAATATTATTGTTAGATTGAAAGGCATAGAGATATGATTCATGCAATTTCTAAAAATGCATTCAGGATTGAAAAGCATTCATTTTAACATTCGTGAATCAATATTTCTGAAAATCTGTATCCATTTCAATTCATTTCAATTCATTCTCCTTTGCTTGGTTAATTGTTGAATGTGCCCAATGACGAAAAAAAGACTTCAAGGAAATATTATTTTCTTTTTGGATCTTAAATAATATTGAAAATGATATAAATTTTATCATTTTGACTTCTTGTATTTCTAAAATTAATCCTACGCTCAACTTGAATTTTTTTCTGAGATTATATATTGTCTCTATCTATAACATTTCTATCTATAATGTTTGGTTCGAAATTTGAGAATCATCGAATTTGGAATTATTATTTTATGTCTCAAAATGCCTTCAAAAAACGTTTTTCTCAAAATATTATTTTTGAAAATGATGACTACGATAATAAAACATGATTTATTCAATTAATTTCAAGTTTTAAAATAATATTTAATTATTGTTTAATATTATTTCATCAATTTAGAAAATTTTTCTACTTTTAATTTTTTTGTAAATTACAACAAAAGAAAAAGCAAAATTTTTCAAGAAACTGGAGACACAATTTTTATATTTACCTATATATTGCATATATGCATAATTTCGTGAAAAATAAAACTTTTTTAAATTCATTCCATGAACTGAACACGGCAAGTGTAAAATATAATAATGTCTATTTCTCAAGGTTGTTAAAAGTTACTTTTTTTTTCGTTTCACTTTCTTCGTGTCGTTAGTTTTTATAATAAAATTTGATAATAATGTTGCAATTTTTTATGACGATAACACTAACTAACTAAATGCTAAAGTTGTGCTAAAATTGGAAAAGTTACTTTGAAAAGTAACTTGTCGGCATTACGTGTTACTCACTGAAAGAACTAAAAGTAACGAGTAACGAAGTGTTGAAATAATAATTTTCAAATTTCGTTATTCGTTACTAGAAATTATAACTTAATTACCGTTACTCATTAAGAAAGGTTTTTACGCAAAATAAAAGTAACAAAAAAGATAACTTAGTTACTTTTTTATGTAACTTATACAATCTTATTTCTTATTTTATGTAATTTATTAAAGTTAAAATCTTGACAATCATGCAGACGCACGAAACGCAATAATTCTATTATTGCTATTAAATGCTATTATTGTTTATTATTGCAATTTTTTTTTAAATAATTTTGCATTTTAATTTTATTATTAAAGATGAATTTTTCTAACAAAAACATTAATTATTCATCTTTTTAAACAAAAATTTTATATAATGTTGAAGAAGCTCCTGTATTTTTTAATTTGCTACACGTCTATAGCCTTAATAAAATTAGACAAGATTATGAATATCTAAATTCTAATATCAATAAGTAACAGAAAAATGTAATCTTCATAGTTAATATACGAAATAAAGTGAACGCTTAGCAACCGATTGACTCTACTGAGTACCCGCCTTATTTTCAGAAAGATTTTGCTCGTTTAAAACAAATGGACCCAAAAAAAAAGATGAGAATTCATTAGACACTCAAATTCACTCAATTCGATCCTCTTAACCAGTCCATTTTTTAATCATTTTTGTTCTTACTGTTTACTAATTTTCTCTTTTTTTTATTATTCGTAATTATCATTATTATAATTTTTATTACCGCAATTTCATTATTATTTATTTTTTCGTTTCTATTTTTTCTCTGTGTCTATTTTTTTGTATTTTTCACTTTTTATTTTTATTTTTCTTTGCATCATTATTTTCTTTATCTTGTACGTTCTTATTATGTTATACATTCGTAGCAGGCTTGCCCTAGAATGTTAATAATGTTTTATCTATTTTTTATATGATTAGTCCAAGCAAAAAACAAAATAAAGGTTTTTGAATCATCATCTGTAATTAGATCTTTAAAGTTACATTAATTTATTTTCGTAAAGAATCGATTTATAATGTTAAAAATATGTAATGTTTTCAATTAGGCCATCATTTATCGAGAATAAAAATAAGACAAGAACAAGCAAAATAGAATAATTATATTAAGTTAGCTATTTTGATTATTGGTAACGAATTAAGCTCGAAATTCAAAAGATGAAATGATATTATGATATTGCCATTGAGACAAAAATTAATCTTATAATGTAAGGGAAACACTGTAAAGACAACATATAAAAAAAA